ATAATTGAACATAGATTAAGACGCATTACAAAGATTTCTCATAATCAATTTGGATTTATGTCGGGCAGGTCTACTATGAAAGTTATACATTTATTGAGAGGTTTGATAGAGAAGTACAGAGAGAATAAGGCTACATACGACTTTTATTGATTTAGAAAAAGCTTATGATAAGGTTCCAAGAGATATCCTTAGAAGAGTTCTAGAGAAGAAATTTGTTGATATGACTTATATTCAAGTTATTAAAGATATTTATATTAAAGTTGTTACTTGTGCTCAAACAGGAGGATTGACCAAATAGTTTCCTATTTCAGTTGGATTACATTAACAATCGGCTCTAAGTCTATATCTTTTTGCTCTAGTTAAGGATGTTCTTACTGGATATGTACAAAATAATGTAACTAAGTGTATGCTCTTTGCTAATGATATCCTTCTTGTGGATAAGACTAGAGAAAGAGCTCAAGAAAAACTTGAATTATAGAGGTCAACATTAGATTCTAAAGGTCTTTGTTTGAGCAAAACTAAAACTGAATACATGGAATGTAATTTTAGTAGTAGTTGCTCTAGTGACAGAGTTGTAACAATTGGTGATCATATCATTAGAATGTGTGAACGCTTCAAATATCTTACATCAAGGATCGGTTCTAAGCCTATATCTTTTTGCTTTAGTTATAAATGTTCTCACTGGACATTTATAGGAGGATGTACCTTAGAGTATGCTTTTCATTAATGATATCCCTCTTGTGGATAATATTAGAGAAAGAGCTCTGGATAAATTTGAATTATGGAGGTCTACATTAGAGTCTAAAGGCCTTCGTTTGAGTAGAACTAAAACTGAATACATGAAATGTAATTTTAGTAGTAGTAATAGCTCTAGTCACAAAATTGTAACTATTGGTGATCTTACTATTAGAATGTGTGAACGCTTCAAATATCTTGAGTATATTGTTCAAAGTGATAGTGATATAGATGGGGTTGTTATTAATAGAATTCAGGTTGGTTGGTTGAAGAGGAATGTTTCGTGCCTATTGTGTAATAGAAAAGAACCGCTTTGATTGAAAGGAAAATTTTATAAGATGGTAGTGAGATCTATAATGCTCTGTGGCGCAGAATGTTGGCCTTTAAAAGAGAAGATCAATTTAATTTAACTGTTTCCGAGATGAGAATGTTTAGATGGATGAGTGGAGAGACAAAATGCGAAATAAATATATATGTGATAGGGTTTGTGTAGCTCTTGTGACTGACAAAATTAGAGAGAGTCATCTTAGATGGTTTGGTCAAATTAAAAGTCGATCATCTGATGATCTGGTTAGGAGAGTAGACATTTTAGATTCAACTTATGTTAAGAAAGGCAGAGGTAGACCCAGAAAGACTTGGGCATATTGTATAAAAAATGACTTTAATTTATTAGAATTAAATGAAAATATGACATTCAATAGCACCCAATGGTGAAAAAGGATTGATGTAGCTAACCCCACTTAGTGGGATAAAGGCTTGTTGTTGTTGTTGTATTGTCTTATGCTTGATATACTATAGTTATTCCTATCACTATAAAAAGAAAATCAACATTCAAATCTTATTTTTGTGACTCAAATAATCTAGCCTTGTCATCATCCAATGGCAATATCTTCACATAATAAGCGGCCCTCGTCATTGTTTAAATCATTTTTTTCATATTTCTATCATTCAATCTCTTATTGTAAATAACATATACCAAAAAAATCATCCTTAAGGTGGTCAGACGATTTTTCCTTTTTGTGTGAACTTAATTATATGTGCTTCAGTTACGCTCACATCTAAATAACAAACATGAAAGTCTCATCCTTTAAGAGCAATATTGTGTATCTATAGCATGCAATCAACAAACTGGATCCATCGTTCAACTGTATTTGAAAATGATATAATTAGAAGTTGTAACTTAAAAATTAAACTTTTGAAAACTCATTCCTTGTTCTAATGAAATGGATCCATCGTTCAACTGTATTAAAAAATGATATAATTAGAAGTTGTAACTTAAAAATTAAACTTTTGAAAACTCATTTCTTATTCTAATAAAAACATCAAATATTAAAAATTAAATATGAAGATCGTTTTGCAATAGTATTTTTAACTTGGTATACCCACAAAAATCTTTATTACTAAATGGAACAAGTTGATATCAATAATTGCTCTCTTAGTTTGTTCAGTAATCAATCCATCCATGCAATGATATAGCTCTGATTTCATCTCATAATTGATAGATGTCTTCTCGACATACTGAAATTAAAGGTTGAAAAATATCCAACAGTATGCATATTGTGGAGCTGAAGTTCTCATTTTTACATATATTTGACCATTGCTGAACGACCGATGGCAGCATTGTTAGAACGACCTACTAGGATATTATTGTGAGAGATGAGATCACACATACGAGGGCCGAATGGAGGTTTGAGCGAAGCAATTTTGCTAATTTAAAGAAAAAAAACAAAATTAACAAGTCGGGGCATAATAAATTTGAGACATAGCAAGCCACACACCTCTTTAAATTTAAGGAGTGCATCTCATGCTAGTCATTTGAGGTTGTTCAAATTTGTGTTGAGGCATGATTCAAGTTGCGCAATGTCGAACAATGATTTGAAGTAATTTGTGATTATCATAATAAAATATCTTATACCTTAAAAAAAGATGTCTTGTTAATGGATTTTAAAGCATATTCTATAGTGTTTGTTAGATTAACAACAAATTCTATATTATAGTCTGTATTGCAAATGAAAATACATAAATTTATGTATCTCAAACTCTTATTATGAATCCTTTTCAATCTTCTCATTTTACTCAAAAAAACAAGCTAAAATTTATCCAATAATCGAACTAAACACAAAAAGTAGAGCATGGGCAGATCTTGTGCAAACATGTTTATATAAACTTTTGGTTAATATCCCATGCAACATATAATATGTAAACCCAACTCTATTGCTGCAAAAAAAAGCTACAGCTGATAAGGATGCTGGATGAGGATGGTGAAATAAACAATAACAATACCTGATTTTTTTTTGGTATGTTTTCAAAAGATTTCAATGTCATTGATATCAATTCATAGGATACCTTTGTGATATCATGATTTGGCTAATTATTCTTGCTTCATAGCTTTTCACATTGAACTCTAACAACGATGACTTGTGCAATTATCAAACTGAAAATTTATTTATGTGTATTTGCCATTGTGGTTGAGGACGTCAGGTGCCGACCAATACAAGTCTAATGGCAATCTCCACAAGAAAACTTGAAAAAGAATTCTAGATGAATGCAATTGAGATTAATTAGTAGAGATAGATAAAGAAACCAGAAAATAAAGTCTAACAATTCATGGACAAGTATTGGCAAAAAACTAAGCAACTTTCTGCATATGAGATTCAAAAAAGGAGAAAGGACAATGATCAACATTCAAAATAAACTTGTTTTGATTGTTTTTGTGGAAATCAAACTAAACTGGAACAGCAACATTGAATTAATAAATATTAAATTAAATTATTTTCCAATTACTCCTAACAATGCTACAAGCAACGAATTTTGATCATGATGTGCCTTGGGATTCAAAGATCTGCCCAACAACAAGGTGAAACTAGTAATCATTAACTTTAAAGGGCATGCTTCTTCCCAGTAGAAGCAACTGACATGAAGTATAAAGTGCAAGGGATCAGAATAAGAGTAAATGAAAATATGTTTAGGAGTCAATTTCAGTCATTAATAACACACAAATCGTGTGTCAGGCTCCAAAATCTCCATTCAAAGAATAATCACAGTAAAAAACATATATATCATAGCTAAAATTTATCACAGCCATCGAAGTGGTGTTCTTGACAGATACATCAGTAATACAATACCATCTAGATATGTAAATGATAACAACCTGTGGCACATCAAATTGAATTGATTAAAGTTTGAAAATGGCCAAAATATGTTCCTTTCTGCATCAATCCTAAAATTTTTATTCCCAAATATATGTGAAAAAAACATCAAATAAGTAGATAATATGATGCATTCATATATTGCAGAAAACCTTACTCAAGAAAAAAAAAATCTAGTGTATTAGAATACAAGTACTGCAGTGAAAAGAAAATCATAAAAGTTATCTTTTTTTTCAAATATCTGCTCTTGTGGGGAACTTTCTCATGGTTTGAGCAAAAGACTCTATAGCCATCAAATTAAAAAATGAAAAATATGATCTAAATACCATAATACTCAATCGGTAATGGAAATTATAAAAACCCTTAACCATAGGGAAAGCGCCACAGAAAACTTTTACAAAATAAAATTGAGCTCAAATATAATTATAGCATGAAAATCTGCAAATTTTATGTATTGTTCTGTGAATTCAAAGTTGATATATCTAGAATCTAGCATGCTTAACAACCTCTCCTAGCATCTATTTAATAGATACTGCATCAAGTACAAGCTTTCTAAACTTAATGGGAAAATGACAGATTGACATTAAACAGGCGCAAACTAAAAAAAGAATAAAGAACTCAATCAGCCCATCTGACCTTCATAACTTTTTTTTCCATAACAGTTTTAAACCAGTAAACAGATCCACATGAATTATACTTGTAATGGACTTCTTTGAAAGAAGAAGAAAAAAAATACCACACCACACATCATTTTTTTCATATTTAGCCTGGTGATAATGGTAAGCCACAATATCATAAAGCCTAAATCCTATAATTGCAACACTATAAATTCATTTATTGCACTTGCATATGCATTGAATGCTAACATAGCATCACAAGTCCTATACAGAAAGTAAAACAAACTGAAACAGAGAGCTTTCCATTTTTAAATACGATAAAGCTTGAACAATGTCTTATGCATGATAAAAAAACCAATTGAAAAGAAGAACGGCTCAAATACATATAATAAAGACTTAATGGAAAACAAAATATGCATCAATTTATCGATATAAAAGACTCTGCCAGTAAGAACGGATGCTCACTATAACCAAGAGCTCTGGGCAGGACTTGGGTTACCTTGTCCTCTGCCAGTAAGGGAAGGTGGAGAAGGATTTCGATTGGTTCAGTATCCGCAGCCATTACAACGAACTCAGAGATCCCCCTGTTAAGTGTTTTAGTCGCTGCATACACAAAAAGCTCAACAAGCCAGCTCAATATCAAATAAACAAAGAACAAACAAAAAATATCAAGAAAACATAAAGCTTCTTAATCAAAAACCTTCATTGGCGCCCTTCTTCAGTTGCTTATAATTGGCAGCTTGCTGGATGAGATCTAGGATTGTGATGGACAGCTGGGCGTCGGCTAAGGGATACGCCTTGGGGTTTACGTGCTCTGTCTGAGAAACACGGGAATGGAATCTCTGTTTAGAGGTTTGCAGTGCAGAAAAATAACCCAAAGGAAAAAAAGGGTGGGGGAGAGAAAAGGTTCCATACCATTTTCTACGTTTTTTACGACGTTAGCGGTAAGAGAAGAAAACACAGGTGTTGGGTTGTTGAAGATGAAGGCGAAGTGGGACGAAGGCGAAGTGGCGGCTTGGAGAGAGAGAGCGGAAAAAACAGTTTTTGGCCTTTTAAGAAATTTTGAGAAATTAGGGCTTTGGCCATCCATCAAAAGATATTATTTATTATTTTAGGTAAATTATTATTATTTATTTTATTTTGGGATAATTACATAAAAGTTATCCCAAACATTTATATTTACAAATTGAGCAACCCGATGACCTCTTTAACGATATTTAATAAAAATTAAAAATATGGGTTGGGAATTTGAAAAATAGATGAAAAAGAGTGGTTGGTTTGTAAATAGCAAGTTTTGAGTGTTGTAGATCTAATTGCCGCTTCTATGTTTTGATGGTGAGCTTCAAAAGCAAAATATTTTGTTGCCGGATTATAGTTGTCATAAGAATTGCATAATGTTCATTTATGTAGTTTTGGGGCATGTTCACATCATTGAATTCTTATGTGTTTACAAATCTAAACACCTAAACTTTACTTTTTTACATTTTTATCATCTATATGTAAAAATTGAAGTCTAAGTAGTAAATATGTAAATACATGAGATTGAGTGGCATGTATGTAAATCGCCCTTTATTTCTTTTAAACAATTTTAAATAAGAAAAACATGTTCATTATTTTTTTTAAGTTATATATTATGTGTATCGGAATGTCCGCGAGAACAGAGTGATCATTTAGCATCTTAACTTTGTACGAGATTCCAACATACACTCAAATAATGAATGAAAAGGAGGAGGAGGCACCTTGATTTTTTTATGTGGAAAATCGTGGAAATGGAATAACACACGGAGCCTATCCACGTGAAATAATTCATAATGAATGATGAGTGCATAGATACACCCTTCATCCGAATTAGGGAATGTGAAGTTATAAAGTTGATCATTGTTTACAATCGTAGTCCATCGATAATAGTTGTAGTCGGGTTATAATGAATATAGTTTTTGATAATAGCAGGCTGCGAGAGTCATATTCGGTTGTTATGGATGCAGTAGTTTGTCGTGGATGTTGTCGATGATGGTTGTAGCTGCAGCTTCTCGTATGAGTCATGGTGGTAGTTGGTTGTGTGAGTCATGAATGGTTGTTTTAGAAGCGTTGGTTGGTCACATAGATGTAGTAGAAAGCTGCAGAAGCTGTGAGTCGTAATTGGTCGCGTAGGATGTATTGGTGAGTTGTGATGTTGTTTGTAGGTAGTTGTTGACCTCATTTTGAGGTCTTCCATTCTCTAGATATCCTAGGATCTAACCTTAAGATTTCTCTATTTTGGCTCTTTTAGAAGACTAGACTGAGGCCCACACCACTTAAAAATTCAAGTCATTTCTTCGCTCATTGCAGTTTCATATGGACTGTTTTAGATCCTCAATATTTCATTTAGTCGATCGAAAAGCCGATATATTGTAGCTCAAATTGAACTCCTATAGAAATTTGAAAGACATAGGGGACCCTGTGACGTGCGCGACATTTGACTTGCCACTGCAAGCGTCATATTTGACTTTGGTTGTTGCTTATGCGTCATATTTGCTTATACATCCAACCAACTAAGTTTGATCGGTCGTCCTAATTTTGTATTGAGCTTCTTAGTTGGGCATTCGATTTCGTCCGATCTTGAAAGTTTTGTTTTGAACTTCTCGGCTGATTTTATATTTCATTATAAAGATTTATGAGTTCATCTAGTTTTGGCCCTTTCTCGAAGGCTCAATTATGTTTCTTATAGCTCTCTTTATTTGAACTTAAATATTGGAAAAAATTTTAGGGATAATTTTAAAGATTTGGATAGCCATCCGGTGGCTCGGTTTTAGCTTGGTAATGGCCTATTTCTTTTGGCCATTTGCTGGATTTGATTTAGCTCTTATGTGGAGATTCAATTATATTTTCTGTAATTCTCTTTATTTGAACTCCGACGTTGGGAACATTTTAATGATTTGGAAATACATTAGAAATTTGTTTCTTGCTTCTCTTGCTGCCCCTTATTAGAATACATGTTAGAAATGAAATGCTGAACTCTTTTATTATTATTATTTTCGAATTAAGTGCGTGCTGGAATTTACTTTTATGGCTCGAAAAATATACTTGGGACTCGGTTTTGATACTTCTTGCTGCCCCCTTGTTCAAATACCTACTGGAATTCATTTTTTGTATGATTTGAAATATACATTTGAGACCCAAATTTTGTTCCTTTTGCTGCCCTTTGTTCAAGGATATGTTGAAAATCATCTTTTAACTTTGAGAGTTAATTTTAAATGCTATAATCTTTGTCTCCCCTTAGAAAATTTAAGAGAGTATGCAATAATCACATGTACAAATTTAGAATTTGAGCCTAAGGTGGAAGGTGGATGCTATATAAATGCTTAAATGATTACTCTTCTCATTTTCTTGATATGAGATATATAAATCTTAGTTAGATGAGCATATGAAATATCGAGGTGGCCTATTAGTTTGAGACGATGGGTAACAGGCGATGATGCAAAGAACTATTTGACAGCTTTATTTATAGTTGAAACATAAAATCAATACTCAATTAGTGTGATGCCCTTTCACCCCTAAATCATCAACAGCTCTAACCCCTTTCAAAAGGACTGGGAATTAGTATTTAAAAAAGAACAAATACTACAAGTCCTTGCACAGATGCTACACTTAGGAAAGAACAGATACTACGAGTTTTACATTGATATTACACTTGCACAAGAAATAGATACTACACACACATACTCACTAGACAGTTCATACACTACACCATGAATATCATAATGCACCTCAGATATTATACAACGAATTCCACACACTACGCCTTGCATGACAGATACTACATTTCACGTATAGGTGCACTACACTTTGATGAGTTCAGATACTACATTTCACGTATAGGTGCGTTGCACTTTGATGAGTTCAGATACTACATTTCACATATAGGTGCACCACACTTTGAGGAGTTCATATACTACTCCGTTCACACATCCTTTAAACGATAGGTTCTAGGGCTGCCTGATTATAGGGGTGCTTCGTTGGTGACCTCTAGTTGATGTTGATAGGTTGACTTTGATATATCAGCGGCCTGTGGGATCAAGATAAAAGAGAAAAAGAGGTCTAGTCTAAGCTTAAACCCAAATTAAAAGCTAATATTCCACTTTAAATTTTCATATGGTTATCACTTAACCTTTCTTTTATCATTTGCAAATATTTGTCTAACCCCTTTATATCATTCAATTGTAATATGTTTTGTAGCATTGTCAGACTTAATCATGTACACTTAGTTGTTTCAGTTTTGTTTTTTTACTGCACATTTTTTTTTATTGCATAGTCTTTCCTTTCTTTAGGTTGCTTCATTTCCATAATTTTCCTTCAGTCTTTACCTGTTACAGTACGCCACTACACAGTTATTTCTTTCTTGTACTATATTATATGTCAGCGATATTTTTTTGGTTAGAGGAGTTGCCCGTAAGAAGCTGTCGGTCACCGGAATTGAAATCTCGTCGCCCGCTTCGGAAGAACGTTTTAATTTATATATATATATATATATATATATAT